TTTAATTAAAATTTTTCATTAATAATTAAAATATCCTCTGATTTTTTATATAATTACTCCCTTACTTCTTCAGACTCCTTATTCATCCAAACACATATAAGTTCCTTTAATCAGATTAATTGAAATTCTACAGACCACATGAAAAATAAATGTTTACAAAATTATATCCTCTGATTTTGAAGAAATATTTGTCAGAGTATTAAATTGACACTGCTACAGGAACGTGCTAGTAGTATAATCAGAACCAAGGTTTGACTGCCTGCCACCACGAAAACCAAACTTGTGAGACAGATGGTGGTAAAAAAAGGAAAGAAGTTTATTCAAGTGCCGACATCTCAAGAAGATGGGAGACTCTTGTCCAAAACCCATCTTAGAATCTCAATGTAGGCAAGGGTTTTTATAGGGAAGGAGAGGGAAAGCAGAACAAAGAGATCAGGAGGAGGGGCTGTGGACAAGCAGGCAGTGTCCTTGCTGGTCCCAATATGGATTGTTAATGTCAGCATATGGGACTGATCAGTGCTAGCCAAATTCCTGCAGTTGGGTGATCCACATCAACCAAAGTTGTGGTCAAGGCCGTTTTCTGTATAAGCAGGAACTAGAACTGCTGATGCCTGCAATACGCTTATAAGGAAACTGTCAGTATGTTCATAGCTTTTATCAGTTTGTTAGTACATTTTATTCTACTTCTATCTCATGGTTAGTCAGGCTGGTATAAAGCTTTATTCCCTGTTGCAGTAGTGACAGTTCTCAGAAAATAGAATATCTATTTGAAGAGTGTTCTCTCTATACTTAACCTGCGAGCAGAGGCTGGGTAGGAGGAGGGCCTCTGACTTACTAGTGGAATTTCCCTTCATTGGCAATAAGAGAAAATCTGAACCAAGGAAATGTCTTTTCTACTTCCTGTGATCATAACCATAGACTCTTGACTGGATATCTTAAGAGGCCTGGTATCACTTGCAATTATTTTACTCTAAACAGATCTTATTCTTAACTAGAGACAAGGTGCACAAATTTGTGGATGGGTGGAGTCCGGCCGGCCCACCCTGATCTGGGCCCATTGGGCCAGGCTGGCCAGGGGTGAGGGCTGCTGATGCTGACTGGCTCCGCTCCTGGTCTAACTCTCATCAAACTCCCAGTTGAAGGGACAATTTGATTATTAGCCTTTTATTATCCTACATAATAAAAGCCTAATGTGCTAAGTGTCCGGTTGTCCATTCAACCAATCAAAGCGTAATATGCTAATGATATGCTAAGGCTGCTCAACCACTCGCAATGACATGCACTAACAACCAGGAGGCAGACAGTCAACCAGTTGCTATGATGTCCACTGACCACCAGGGGGCAGATGCTCCTTCAGGAAAGCTATGCACCCCTAGTGAAAATCATCAGGTTCTCAACTGGAGTTGCACACAATGGATTTGTGCCGTGTAGCTAGTGAGAACACACTGATTATCATAATTCAACAAGTATATATTAAGAATGTATAATAATATGTCTGGCAAAATGCTAAGTGTTAAAAATTCATTTTAGTTCTCATCAAAATAAATGAAAATGAGGTAGTACTTATTAATAGTTTTAATTTAATAATACCTAAAGTTAAATAATATTTTCAATGTTCCAAGCAACTAAGTGCTTTACATATAATTTATATAATCCTCTCAATAAGTGTGTGAGGTAAATTATATTAATTTTTATTTCTTTATTTGTAGACTTAAATGTATTTTCATAAACTGCACTCAGATTTACAAATATATTTTTTGAGAGTTCTTCAGGTAGTCTGGGGAAATGTTGTCCTTTCAGGGAAGATTTCTAGAAGTCGTTGCATACATATTACCATACTAAATAAATATTGACCTCAAGAATATAAGAGTAATGTAAATTTAGGAGCCAAGATTTCATATTACTATTCCCAGATTTATACTCCATTTCATGGTTTTGACTTTGGGATAGAAGCAAACTGTTGGTTAGTTCCTGAGACCACCTTCCACCACATTATTTTAGGCTTTTGTTTTCTGTTTCTTTTTTGGTTCCTGTTCACCTCCTTCATTCATTTTTCTAATGGTGCTGCTCATTTTCTCAGGAATTTTAAATTATTCTTAAATGTGCATTAATGAAACATCATTATTTTAATCCTTTGACATTTATGTACCAAATATCTTTCTCAGTTATCCTTTATTTATATTTTAATGAAGTAAAGTTCATCTTCCCACTTTTTCTCACTTTTCCATCTCTAAAATAAACATAGTAATATCTGTATCTTAAGGATTATTTTATTTTTTAAATGAGTAGACCAGCATTTAAAACAGCGTAGAATAGTGGTGATGGTTATACAGCACTGTAAATGTAACTGCCACTGAATTTTATACTAAATTATGATTAAAATTGTAAATTTTGTTATGTCTATTTTACCACAATAAAATAAAATAAAATAGCTCCTGACACATAGCCAGGATATTTTGAAATAAACATGGTATTAGAATAGTTTGATTTGTCTGTAACACCTTTAAAAGCTTCATGTGGATAGATATGTCTAACTTGCTCAGCATTTGTCGCTCTGACACACAGGAGGTCCTAAAGAAATACTTGTTGAGTGAGGTGTCTAGCAATAGAATGGGCTGCCTGAGAAATGGTGACTTCTTTGTGAGTGGAATTATTTAAGCAGAGGTTATAATGATCACCTGTCAATGATGTGTCATAGAATATGTCTAAAACATGGAACTAGTAAAACTGCCTAAATTTCTTAGCAATCTATGATTGCATTATTTTATCTCGTGTTTTGCTATAGCAATTTTCATAATCTAATAACAGTATCAACATCATAAAGGAATTCCATATTTCAGCACTTGCCATTTTAACCCCCGAAATAGGCTCTGATCAGTAAAATACTCTTAGCAGTTCCTGCTCTCCTGGCATATGTATTACGTGCCTTTTCCTTTGTTTCACTTACCTGTGTTCTTTACTTTCTTGACATCATACTCTCCAGAAAGGCTTGGTCTTTTTCACAGGGTATAAAGTTACCGAGTTGCTAGTTTTCTAAATTGTAAGCTACTTGGAAGCAGAGACTGTGTCTTGTCCACCAATCCTTGTCAACCCCAGAACACACTGCCTGGTAATAAATAGTTACTAAATGACTAACGGCCTGAATGAAACTATCTTCTGAGGCCTATTGCTTTCAATTGTGTACACCAAGCATGTCAAACTCAAAGGCTAACACGGGCCAAATAAACCAAGTTAAGTTTATGCAGGCTGCATACAAACAAAAGCTTCAATTTTCATAGAAACATAGGTTTATTTCTATAGAGACATGCTGAATACAAAGGACTAAAATAAAGGAGTAATTATGAACATAAAATAATAGAATATTTTAATAAAAATTAATATTTTTTTTCTTGAACATTAACTTACCAGACACTGAATAACTGCACAAATTAATAAGCATAATGCAAATAAACCTGTTTTTCTTGTTCTCCGAAAGCGAAATATTTCCTGTTGTGCACACCAAACAAGTCAGTCCAAGACTAATGACATGGCCACCGGCTGCTAAATATTCGCTGCTAGTATTAGTGGAGAGAAATGGTGCTCCTGAGTGTAAGGTACCTAAGGGAAATAAATGCAACACGATTATAATAATCAGTCATTAGTGAACGTTGTAGTTCGTTATTAATAATTATGTGTAACATGATATTGTAAAAATTAAGTTACAAAATTTTATTAAAACGTTTCTTACCGTTATATTGGCTGGGCTGCAAAAATATTTGTTGTAGGCTGCATGCAGCCTGCAGGCCGTGAGTTTGACATGCTTGGTGTACACCATAGATAATTTTTAAAAGCACATTTCTTTTTAGATATTTTGACCAACCGGTTACAATGCTTTCTTTGTGGCAAAATTCTGTCCCAGTGTCAATGACTTTGAATATCTCCTTAATGCTATCAAGCATCCTGCACTGGTGGAGTCCAGCTGGCCCCCCCATGGGGGCTATCAGGGGTGGGCTGGCTGGGGTGAGGGTCCACAGGCCGGTCGTTCTGCTGTTTGGTCAATTTGCATATTACCCGTTTATTATATAGAAGGGTGCAACTGAAACCCCCAAACAAATGTGTGCTTTTATTTTGTGCCTAGAACTTATATCCTTCAAAGTAAGTTTTCCAGAGCAAATTGTTTGTAAAAAGCACAGGCCAAAATCTGGTAGGACACTAGTAGTTGTTGTCTGAAAGGAGAAATTAAAACAAAAATAAATTCTTACTTACTATGAACTGGGCATTTTTGTCAGAGAAGATTGTTATTGATATTCCAGGCTGCCTATAAAATTCCGGTAAGAGAAAATATGGAAATATTTCAAGCTTATGATAATTTTATGATCCTTAGTTTAACCCCTACATGTTGAGCTTCCAATCTTCCATTTATTTTGTGATTTCCCGCAAAACACTGAGAGAAAATCTCAGTGAAGTCCACCTTAAAGAGGATATTTTTCAGTCTACGAGGAAAATAAGGAGCATGTTCTGCATTAAATTTCCAGGTCAACAGGTAAGCATGGGGGAGGGGGGGATAATTTTCATCAATATCACAGAAGAATGATTATTTACCCTGGCATAATTAGAAGGTTTCTCAGGCATGTTAATTATTCGGCAATTGGCATTTACTGTACAGAGGGCTTATTAATAAACGCTGACACATCATTTGGTGCAGGAAATCAACTCTGGATAATATCCAGCTGCATTCACTAGTTTAGTGAAGAGTCTGCACCCATTTGACTCTAGCCTCCCTGAGTTCTGCAGGCCAACAGGCTGGGGGGAACTTCACCCACCATTCACACGGGCAGGGCTTCCCCTCAAGGGGCGGGGCCAACCGTGTCTGCGGAGGCGGGGCCGACCTTGTCTGCGGGGGCGGGGCCAACCTTGTCTGTGGGGCGGGGCCAACCTTGTCCGCGTGGCCAGCTGGATTGGCAGGTCATGGGGCGGGCTAGCGCATGCGCACTGGCCGGTCCGCGGCCGGCCGGTGGACCATGGAGGCGCCGAGGCCCTTTGCACAGGACTGGTACGTCCCATGGCTCTCCCTGACGCGAGGGGCCGATTTGACGCTGTGGCTCTGTGAGCTCTGGCTACTCCTGCTGACGTCCGGCTTGTGCGCGGGTTTACTGCCGCACGAAGAGGACGTGAACTTTATCAATGAGTACGTGAACCTCCACAATGAACTCCGAGGCAAGGTCAAGCCCCCTGGGGCTAACTTGCGCTTCATGGTGAGGCCCCGAGGCGGTTGCCTGAACCTCTGACAACCTTGCCCTGACCACGCACCCCGGGGCCTCGCACAGTCTGGGCCGCTGCTCTGAGGGTTAAGGATTGTGGGGAGCCGCACTTTCCGTTTGGGCTTAAAAATATATGTGCGTAAAGTTTATTCACTGAAGAAATACAAACCACTGTCTTCTTAACACATTTGTTACCAAGATTTTACATAGGGCTGGGACTAGGGTGAGTAGAGGCACTCATCTGAGGTGTACAATTTAAGGAGGTTTCCATTCGAAGAAATGACGGTTCAGTGCACTTTATTTTTTTATTTAAAAATCTGCAAAAACATCGATGGAGACTATCAATTTAAACAACAGGATCCTTGTCTTCAATTAGGCGCAGCGGTTCTCAACCTGTGGGTCGCGACCCCTTTGGCGGTCGAACGACCCTTTTATAGGAGTCGCCTAAGACCATCCTGCAGATCAGATATTTACATCACGATTCATAACAGTAGCAACATTACAGTTATGAAGTAGCAACGAAAATAATTTTATGGTTGGGTCACAACACGAGGAACTGTATTTAAAGGGCCAGAAGGTTGAGAATCACTGAATTAGGGCGAGGCTAGTGAGGCACTCTCAGGGTGATGCAAATGAAAAGCCAGATCTTGTTTTTATTTAAAATAGTGATTTTTTTTCATCAAGGATGTTTTTACATCAATTTTTTTTTAAATACCACTTACCTTAATTATTGTGAGATGTGTTTTCTCCGGTATCCACCCAAGGGAATGTCTCAGTCACCTTACCCTTCTTTCTGCCAGGGACCAGTTAGATATTTATAACATCTCTCATAGTCCCTACAAAATTAGAAACTTAAAAATGAGCCTGCTCTATTTGGCCAAACATGTAATTAACTCCCGGTCTGTTGGCTAGACCTGCTTCTCTTTAGTGAGGCTTGTGATGTTAGCTCAGTGATGGCGAAACTATGACACGCGTGTCAGAGGTGACACGCGAACTCATTTTTTTGGTTGATTTTTCTTTGTTAAATGGCATTTAAATATATAAAATAAATATCAAAAATATAAGTCTTTGTTTTACTATGGTTGCAAATATCAAAAAATTTCTACATGTGACACGGCATCAGAGTTAAGTTAGGGTTTTTCAAAATGCTGACACGCTGAGCTCAAAAGGCTCGCCATCACTGTGTTAGCTGGTATTGATGTTGCTACTCGAACTGCTTTTCCAGGTTTGCCTGGGTCTGTCTGGAGCGCAGGCGACTCTGTGATGCTAAGTTTTGAAAAGAACTGCTCCCAGCAGAAAGTTGTTCCAAACACAGATGCGTATTTCAATGCATGGCTCCTCAGAGTGGGAAATCCATCGTTGCTTTTGGAACCTGTATAGAACACAAGCAGTGTGGGAGGTGGTTGTACTTAGCTTTCAGCTCATCATCGCTTGGCAACTGAATGATTTCGTGGTGTAGGTTATCATGCACATCAGCGGGTTCCACATTGAACCGATGTAGCAAAGATGTTCAAGTCCATTGGTTTTCTTTTCATGTCCTTGAATCTTTCATTAAATGGCCTCAGAGTTCTCCACATTCACCAGCATATTCAAGTGTCGCAGAAGGCTTTTGTCCTCCAGAGTGGGGAAATGCACCGTGTTGCTCCTTTCGAGTTGCACTTTCTAAAAGCCTTAATTTAGCTTCAAATGATTTCACGTTTGAAAGCAGGGAGTTGAGAAGCTGGTTGGGGCCCTATAGCTTGACATTCAACTCTGAGAGGTACTTGGTAACGTCCACCATGGACGCTAGATCACACAGCCACTTGCCACCATTGAGTTCCCAGACAGGTTTTCCCTTCATCTCCATGAGCTGCTTGACTTCATCCTGTAGTTCATAAAACCTCATAAGCATGTTCCTGCGACTCAGCCACCACACTTCACAGCGATAAACGAGATCATTGTACTCAGTCAAGATCATTCAGTAACTCCTTAACCTGGCCGCTATTAAACCCTCTGCTTTTGACAAAATTTACACATGACACTACTCTTGACATCACATTGTTGAGCCTCAATGACTTTGCACAGAGACTCTCTTAGTAAACAGTGCAGTGGCATATAATTAAATCACTTGGATCGAGACTGAAATGATTCAGTTCTTTCTTGACAAATGCAATTAACCCTTTTTGTGAGCCAGTCATGGCTGTAGCTCTGTTAGTAGTAAGGCCACTTTTCAAACATTAGCTCAAATTTTTTCATTGTTAAAACAAGTCTCTTAAGTTGCTCACCTCTTGTAGTGCCATGCATGGCTTACAGGGACAGCAGTTCCTCTCATGTGTCAAACTCTGCAGTTATCCCATGAATGAAAATGGCCAAATGGGCGGTATTTGTTATGTCTTCTTGTCACAAGCCAGAGAGAAAAATTGGAAATCCTTCAGTGTTTTTTCAATACCTTCTGCTGTCAGTAATCCCATCTGAGGCAGTTCTCTGAGACAAACTAACACTCTGAAACAATTTTAATTTGTCTGGTGCTAACAGTTCTGTAGCAGCCACCATGACCTCTTTCACAAACTCTCCCTCACATGAGGCCTCAGCTTCTTTTCGACTTGCTCCCTCACTACATAATTCATCTGAATAACATTGTCCCTGTCATAAGGAGGCTTAAGTAAAAGCAGATTGTTGTGATTCTAAACTCCACTGAAGAATATTGATTTTATCTACACATTTGGCCTCTCAATGCATTGAGTACAGCATGTTTTGAGCTATAATGACGATCCAGGTTGGCTTTTTTCATTATTGCTAACACATCGCCACAAACTGGGCACATAGGTTCGTCTTTGACTTCAACAAAAAAATAATCATTTGGTCCTAGCTGGTTTGGCTCAGTGGATAGAGTGTCAGCCTATGAACTGAAGGGTCCCAGGTTTGATTCCTGTCAAGGGGTACATACCTCGGTTGCAGGCTCAATCCCTAGCCCTCATCAGGGCATGTGTGGGAAGCAAACAATTGATGTGTCTCTGTGTATCTGTCCCCCTCCCTTCTACTCTCTTAAAAAAAAATTAAATAAAAGGAAAAATATCCTCAGGTGAGGATTAACCAAAAAAAATCATTTGTCCATTTCTCTTAAAAAGATCGACACTGCACATCAAGTTTTCTCTTTTTTGTAGTCACCACTTGTCGGATGTCATACCACTTAAGTTTTATTAACTATCCAGTGTGTTGCCGTACTGCAATCATTTTGCTTTGATTGCTGTTCTAATCCTGTATCTTGGATTTGGAACATATCCAACATTCGTATCATTGACTCTTGAGGTCTTTTCAGTGTATTGTGATTTCTTTAATCTTCATCTGAAATCAGTTTTTACAAGGATTGTTGATCATGGATGTTTGGATAAAGGTTGGATTGGATTTATCATCTGTATCAACAAAAAATCAACAACATCGTTGTCAGTCATTGGAGGCAAAGTCATCAACATCCCTAGGAATTATCTCATTGCATCTGGTCCATCATCACCGGATCACTATAGTTTCACCACAGCGTGTTAACACTTTCCCAGCGTGTACACTCTCAGCCAGCCTGGCACTGACTGTCCTCTGAGTCACCACAATACAGGCATATGGGCCACGGACAGCAGACGAGAAGCATACGTGTCTGTCCTGTCATGTACTCATCATATGTGTCCTATCGATCCTATAATGGTCATTCCTTGCTTCTCCTTCAAAATTTACATTATTATTATGATTCACTTAATACACGTTTATGTTGCTATGAAAAAAAAAGCTCCTAGATTTATTGAATTTCGAGTCCCACCTGTGGTAGCTTTGGCAGGGTCAGATCAAAAGATTTCTCAGGCCTTATACAGCCTGCAGGTCAGAAGTTCCCCACCCCTGCCCTAGTTCAACCCTTATTTTTCATTCCTTTAAATGTTTTTTCTTGCTTCTTTCCCATTCCCTCTCCTTCCCCATTTCTATTTAATGTATCAACTCTTCCCTTGTTGTCATTGAAAATGACTAAAATGGCCTTGGCCAGTGAAGCCCTGTTGGGCTTCATCTGGAGCATGGAAAGGTTGCTGGCTTGGTTCCTGGGAGAAAGTGGGCAGGAGGCAGCAGATTGATGTGCTCTAACATCAATATTTCTCTCTCTCTCTCTCTTCCTCTCCCTTCTTCTCTCTCTAAAAGTCAATAAGAAAAGAAAAAAAAGACTAAAATGCATTGAAATAACTAGTCTCTTATGAGGCAATTAGAAGCTTCCAATTTACATTATAATGTATTTTAAAGACTATCTCCCTAGACTTGAGTCTTTTCTTCCTTCTGGATTGGTTCCTTTGGACAAATTCAAAAATATGGCATAAATAATGGATGTAATATTTTTAATTTATATGACACATAGTAATTGCTAGTCTAAATGGTTGTGCCAAATTAAGCAAATACCAGCAGCGTATAAATGTTCTGCTTTCACCATATCTGCACTGGCTTGGGCATTGTCAGTCACTTGCTAAACTGATAAATTATACAATGGTACTTCATATTAATGTTAATTTTTAAATGCTAATTTGAGTGATCATATTTTAGTTCTTTTTTGTTCATTTTCTTTACTTTTTGTATTTTCGGTGTTTCCTCTTATGTTTATATATTTTTATAAAAATACATTAGAATTTAATCTGTTGCTGAAGATAATTATTTCCAAGCCAATTTTTATGTTTTGAATTTAATCAAAGAATTTCGGGATCTTTGAGAGTTTTAGCTATGCACCCCCATTTATGATTACATACATATATATTGATTTCAGAGAGAAAGGGAAAGGAAGAGATAGAAACATGAGAGAGAATCATTGATCGGCTGCCTCCTGCATGCACCCCACTGGGGATCGAGCCTGCAACTTGGGCATGTGTCCTTGACTGGAGTCAAACCTGGGATCCTTTTAGTATGCAGGTTGATGCTCTATCCACTGAGCCAAACTAGCTAGGGCATTTTTGTTGTGTTTTGTTGTTTTTATTTCAGAGAGGAAGGGAGAAGGA